GAGACTGAGGTGCAGAAGGATCGTTACAGAGAGCAGAGGTTAAAGACTGGGGTCAGAAAGACAGTTACAGAGAGCAAAGTTTGGAGACTAGGGTGTAGAAGAAATGTTGCAGTGAGCAGAGATTGGAGATGGGGGTGAAGAAGGCCTGTTACAGAGAGCAGAGGTTGGAGACTGGGGTGCTTAAGGCCTGTTACAGAGAGCAGATGTTGGAGACGGTGGTGCAGAAGGACTGTTACAGAAATCACAGTTTATATCCTGGGGAGCAGAAGGATATTTCAGAGAGCAGAGTTTGGAGACTGAGGTGCAGAAGAACTGTTGCAGAGATCAGATGTTCGAGAGTGGAGTTCAGAAGGACTCTTTCAGAGGGCAGAACTTGGAGAGTGGAGTGCAGAAGGATTCTTGTAGGGAGCAGAGTTGAAGACTTGGGTGTAGAAGGCCTGTTACAGATATCATAGTTTGGAGCCTGCTGTGCAGAAAGATATTATAGAGAGCAGAGTTTGGAGACTGAGGTGCAGAAGGACTGTTACAGAGAGAAGAGGTTGGAGACTAGGGTGCAGAATGATTGTTGCAGAGAGCAGAGTTTTCAGACTGAGGTTCAGAAGGACTGTTGCAGAGAGCAGATGTTTGAGACTGGGGTGCAGAAAGAGTGTTTTAGAGACTAGAACTTGGAGACTGGGGTTGAGAACTATTGTTGCAGGGAGCAGAGGTTGGAGACTGGGGTGAAGAAGGACTGTTATAAAAAGCAGAGGTTTTAGACTGGGGTGCAGAAGACCTGGTACAGAGAGCAGAGCTTTGACTATGGTGCAGAATGATTGCTGATAGCTGGTGAGCCTCCTTCTGGACACCTTCTTTTCCGCACAGTCCATCAGGCCCTCTCTCCTCACCCTGCTCTCTTTTGACTTTATGAGCATCTGTGACTTCCACAGTCACTCTAAGCCATTACTCCCAGGCCTATCTCCTGGGAACCTGTTCCACTGCCTTCTGGAATCTCCTCGGGAAGACCCCAAGGTACCCAGACTCTAGGCCCAACCTCCTTCCCTCTTTTTCTCTCCCTAGACACGCTTCTTCTCATTTTTTTTTTTTATGTTTTAATGGTGATCCCACTGCCACCCAGCTACCCCACAGACTAGGTGCCCTCTTGT